TCACGTGGCAGACGCCTTTATCTAATTTTACGTAATTTGAACGATGAAATGGAAGCTTATTTGCAGTTCGTATTCGAGTGATCTTCGATCGGCACAACGGTCACGGAAATCAAGTGAATTTTACAATGATCGAGAATCGTAGTCGACTTTAATTTTAAAGGAAAATTATAATGAGGTAACGTCGAATGGAAAATAGCATTGTTCAACGCTTTAAAACAAAAATTGAATAACGATAGGCTGTACGATAGTTAATAGAAAAATTTTAATTATAAAATGTGCTAAATATAGCTATTGCTAATATTGTAATTTAATTTTTCATCAACTTGATTAACCCGGCCAATTATGGCTTTCGAAATTATTATTTTCAGAACATTCCATTGCCTGTCCGCGTTAAAAAATTATCTAAAATACCTTTACTTTCAAATTTTTTATAAAACATATATTATAACTTTTTCGAAAATTAATTTTTGTTTATAGTATTGATTAAAAAAAAATGTACGTAACCGAATTTCGAAAATTGAACAAGAGTGTGCGTATTAATGGATACAGTTACGTATATACTGAGAATGCAATCTTGTATTAATTAATTTGAAAATTTGAAAATTTGTAATATATTAAAAATCCTTAAAATTGTTAAAATATATAAATAACGATAATTGTAATATTCCTTATAATTGCTATATTGCACTACAATATCAATTATTACACTTTACACCGGGAATTCACTTTATCTATGAAAGCTTTCTCTATTAAATATGTTTAAGCTCGAGAATTCAAAATAAATTTATGCTTTTAAAAATTGCATGATACTGTAAACTTATAAATTTTAAACTTTCAATAAGTTTATGCTTATGTCTGTATTTACGATTTATTGAATTTACTAATCGTAAAAATCCATTATTAATAATCTTATTAACTATTCCTGTACTGCTTTCGTTATCTTTATTTAATAAATAAATAAATGAAAAATATGTGTGCGTGCGTGCGTGTGCGTGTGTGTCTGTGTCTGTGTGTGTATTTATGTATGCATGTATGTGTACATAATAAATAAATAAATGAAAAATATGTGCGTGAGTGCGTGCGTGCGTGCGTGCGTGCGTGCGTGTGTGTGTGCGCGTGTGTGCGTATGTATGTATGTATGTATGTATGTGTACCCAACTGTAACTTTAATTTTGAACCAATATTGATTATTAAAGAGTAGAAAATTATCGATGAAGTAAACGTATATGTTTCTACATAATACATCATAAAATATATTTATTGCCTAATGAAGCAGCGTTTACAGAAATTAAGAACTCATGTATATGCTTATGATTACAATTACATGTATAGTGCAATTTCTTATTTAGAAGATATCTTACAAATAGTTAATTAAATAATTCTATTTTACTTGTAGATATGAAATAATTTTATATCTTTACATTTTTTGGTCGTAGAATAGTTGTAAATTATAAAATACCTAAGGTTTCTTCATTATGAAAATGTTTAGCTAATAGATTTAAAGTTTTTAATAATATAATATTATATAAAGTATTTATTTCATGGTAGTAGAAAAGATACTTATTTGTTTACATTTTATTTGTAATGATATTTTAATGAAGTCTATTATTTACAAGAAATATGTTAACGAAATAAACATCAAAATTCAAATAAAATCACTAATTTTTTAAATCATATAATTATTATACGTGCGTATTTTTTCATTTTTTATATGATTTTTCAATATTATCACTACGATTGCCATTACATAAATACATTTACGTATATAATAAGAAAGTATTTCTGATTGTAGAGAAAATGCCTTAACAGCATATTAAAAATATTAATTACAACTTTTTATATTTCACTTACATTAATCAATATAAGTGCTATTTTGAATAAATATTTCTTTAACGAAAGAATTTTCATTATCGGTTAATTGAAATAAATATCATTGGTTCGGTGAAATAAATACAAAATTTAAACTTATATTTTGTGTAAGTAATTTAAGAAGGATTTATTTAAATACATCATTTAGTCCGTTGCGTGAAGTAATTTAAATGTCAGTAGCATTGTAATGTTTCGGTGTGATGTAAAAAGTTTTATAATATTTTATAATTTCCTTATTTAATCATTATTATCAAAATATGGCTTTACGAAAATTTGTTTTAGAAAAGTAATTAATTGAATTAGTAGTAAATACATAAAATGCAATTTATAATTTTCTAACTTGTACATAATTGAGGGACTCTACTTATTTGTATTATCTTTATATTCTAGCATTACTTTAAAAAAAAATTTCAATAAATTAACTTGTAACTTTGATTAATCCAAGATGTATTAATCATAGTTACATACGTGCTTCCTTTCAAGCGAAATACGTTGTAGGGCACGTTATAGGGTAAAAGTTCTCTTTTCTCTATTTCTCACCTCCTTCGCCGCGGTAAATAGACTAATTTAAGAATTCGATTAGAAATTCTGATATATATGGAAAAAAAAAAATTTTATATAAATGTTAGATTATTTATAATTTAAAATTATTTATCTTTTAATAGGATCAATTTTGTCGCAACCACCGCAGTAATAGATGTGCAATTTTCTATTGACATTCAATTTTTCTAAAAAAAAAAAAAAAAAAAAAAAAAAGCCCAGAAAAACACTGTGACCTGTCATTCATCAGCATGACCACGTGTTAAAGCACATCCAGAAATGCTAATATATTCGCATAAGTATAAAAGATTAATCGCAACGATATGTGTGTGGGCTGGTAAAATAGAGAGTCTCGTTGTTATGCAGGTACGCGCTTATATGCACATTAAGTGCATTGCATCATTAACTCGGAGTTTAACCGAGCGACCATTCTATAACTGAACGTGCACGTGCACTACCGATGTACATGAACTTCCATCGCAACATTGCCCCAACCCTGTGTAGGATATTTTTTCAGCTCCTTACGCACCCACGAGCCTCGATTGAATGCATGTGGAGACGCTCGAGTTAAATGATTCGTTTATTTATATAGCTTCTGTATTTCATAGAAAAATAATTTTATAGTAGAAGCAGCTTATACACACTTATTGGCAATAAGATACTCGATTAATATAGGTCACGGGGTTGTAATTTTATAAGCCTTTATAAGTACATCTAGCATGTAGTCGCACGGGATAACGATTACGCATAGCGATTATCCAATAATGAATTAAAAGGTCGTATAAAATATAACGTCTCGTCATAGATAACGTGAACGCATAAAACCAAATATATTGAAATGAGCTTGGACTTAGTGTTCTATGACAAAAAAGTCTTTGCGTACTTTCCCGTGACTAATGACTTTTTATAAAGAGATTCACGGACTTCGCGGCGATTATTAATGAAGTATGAGAACCGCTTGCTTCCAATACAATAAGATTTACAATAAGATATGAATTTTAATATAATCCTGCGCAATAAAATCCGCGGAATCTACAATGAAGACGTATCTCGCTGCACGAATGGAAATCACGATCCGCGAGATGCGAGGCACGCGCTTAGCCATAATTAGGGAAGATCGTGGCGCTCGGTCACTTTCCCATGGGGTGTTGGAGGGGTGTTGGAGGTGGAGGTGGAGGGAGGGAGGGAGCGCTTGGGGGGGGGAAGGAAAGGCCGGACAACGCTTTCGACTCCAGGAGTTTCGACTGCCGGAGTCGTGGTACGGGGGTTGGATAGGACGGCGAGGATGGGGGGGGGGGGAAGGAACGCGAGCGGCACGATTCCCACATAATGAGGTTCCCGCTACTCGCGAAACATCCGCGATTACTCAATGCCGTAAAGGTGCCTCGCGCGCATTATATGCGTGAACGAGAGCAGAGCACCGCTTACATTGTGAGCTCGGCGAACGCCAATAGAAAGAAAGGAGATGGAAGTCGAGTCTCGTGACGCGGTTCACTACGCGCAAAGCCACATTCTCTTAGTTCACGACAATGGCGCGAGCGGAGGAGGGGTTCAGGGCTTTCAATGCTTGATTCGTGCTGGAGCAGCATGATTCATGCAAATGTAAGATTTATCGGCAAATGTGACTTGATATTTTTTAATGAAAATCGGTCCACTTAGAGTCGAAACATTTTATAGCCTTCCCCCCTTTAAATCGCGCGGGTTTGGGATACTTTTGACGTCGCATTGGAACATGTTATATTTTTCGTTCTAT